CTGAACCTTTTACAGCAAACAAGATGGAAGACTGGCATATAGTTTTCTTTGCTAAATAAAAGAAAATGAAGACCTGCGCATTTACAAATACACTAGTCAATTATTGGGGAGTAAACTAAGCCTGACCCAATTTATAGAGAAAACGCATGCTGAATAAAGTGATAATTCACCCGCCACAATCCCGCTGAATTCCCTTACACACACAATGTTTAGCATTGTCATGTATGACAAAATACAACGCTAAACTGTGTGCTCATAAAACAAGTGGCACTGCACCCACATTTTCACTAAAGCCAACAGCCAACTGCATAACCTGTGCAGGAAATGGAAGGTTGTATTTTCATTTCTGTGAAGTGAACCAGACACTTTCTGGGTTGTTATTTAGGCAAACAAAACAGAATTGTATTCATGCTAAATTCATGCAAATACATGCATGCAATTTATCACAAAGGCTGACAGGCGTACCATATTGCAGAGGGGAGGGGTGAAGGGCCAAATGAAGCTGAGACAATCAATTAAGTTTTATAATTTACACTTCTGTCCAGCGCTCTGCTTTCTCAAAAATTCGATCATGCTGATAAGTTTAGTGTTTTCAGTGTGTGCATATGCAGTTGATATGGTTCTTATTGAAAAGAGCCTGCTGAGTTGATCACTAGAGGCTCTCTGAGAGCCTCTGGCTACGTCGTCCAGCTTCCTGACTTCTCTGAAGGAGGCTGGTAATACACAGTTGAGAATAAAACTAATGAATGGACATAATCCAAAAGGGGTCCTCGGTGAGGCTCCAGGCTCAGAAATTAACTGACCTCCTACAGAGACACCATATTGCTTTGAATAATAATGTTCACTTATTAAAAATCCCAATGACAATTTCATTTTATGACAAATGAAATTATAGAAAATGTTTCAAAGTGACTGGCTGTCCCAGGAGATTAAAGAATTGTTTTTTTCCCCCACACAGTTTTAGAGCCAGTATTGATGTCATATCTCCAATGTGTTGCTGCTTTTAATCTCATTTATACAGAAATATGTCATCCTATTAAGGCCTTTGACTAATCTGCACATTAGCTTGGGAACTAGCTGAAAAACTTGCTTTGTATGGGATATGGCCTGACATTTCCTTCCAAACCAAATGACCCCAGATATGTAATAAAAAAGTAAATGTCAGACCTTATTTGTTCTTGTGTAACAGAATTATTTAAATAATAAAACATCATCCATTTTAAATGCTACACTTACAATACATAACTCATCGACCATTCCCTCCAGTCATCATGGAATACAGAAAGTTGAAACTTACAGTATGGAGAGAACTGGAGAGACAGAATACAACTAACTATAACATACATTAATTTGATCTGCTACAATCAGTGAAAAAAATGATCCAAAATCATTCAAAACATGAACAGTCTAATTTAAAGGCAATTTTGGCAATCAAAGAAAAAACCATTCACCCTGTGTCAGGCCAGATTAACAGGATGATCAGTCTTGTTTGAAGAAAGCCAAAAATAAAACGGAGGAGAAAATATGAATAAGTGTGGAGGCATGCTCTGGAAACAAAGAGTCTTTCAAAACAGGGTCACATGCTCATGCAAAATTAGGGGAAATAGAAGTCATTGTATTGATTTACACAATCATGCATGCATTTTGCTGGGTCAAAAATAGGCCTGTGCTGGATTCACAGCCCCATATATCACACTGGGGGGTCTCCTATAGCCTACTGGGACGGCAAATGAAGCAACAGAGCTTGCAATGCTGTAATGGTAAAGATATGGGTGAGAAGAATGGCTCGTCTTAGGCCAGACCTAACAATTGCTGGAGACTTGGGACTGCACTGCACATTGAGTTACTGGTCAGTCTGCAAACTGGGCAGCCACATGCTTTAGATTTAGAGGTGTTAATCTCAATGACACCCCACCCCCCACAGACTGGAGCACAAACTCAAGAGGTGTAACTGAATTCAGAGGTATCTGAGTTGGAGCAGGACTGTCCGAAAAGTGAGGCTGGTCTGGTTTCAATAAAAGACAGGTAGGTACCTGCTGGGTCACAGACAGTGGGAGAGTGAGAGAAAAGACTATCAAAGCCCGAGAGGTTTGAAGATACATCTCACCACATGAAAACCTTCCATAATGTCGTCCATATCCTTCAGAAATATGTCAATAAGAAAATATTTATTTAGTTAATGGTATTATTTAATTTCAGAACGAACCATTATTAGACCTCTAGCGTGTCACCAAATTAGGTTAATGTAAAGCAAAACATGCTACTCCATATGTGTCATTTCTGCCTGGCAACAGTGTAAAATTGACACTGGGGCCTGCCAAGAATCTTGCAGTGTGTCCATGACAGGCTGTGGTGATAATGGGAGTCACCTATCTATCAGGGTCCTTCCCTCACACGCCACCTCCCGCTCACTTCCATCCAGGTAGTAAGACTTCGAGCTGATGAGCGGCTGTGTGCCCTCATAGTGTCTGGTCATATGCTGTTCTGACTAGAGCTCAGATGAGTTAAATGTTTTGTGTTCCTTATCTGATCTGTCCAACATCAGCTTTTTGTAGTCATGTTCAAAATATGTACTGTACCTTGGGAGATGAAGTGCTAGTGCAATGATGAGAGTTTGGGCGAAGCCAAGATCTCTTTATTGTGAATCACTGTCTGTATCAGACCAGCATAGCTGTGCCTCAAATCATAGGAATTGGAAGCCATGCCAATCTTAATTAGAGTTATTAGTAATAAATGTTTTCTAAATTTAATTTCCTTTTTTTTTTACATTCAAACTATGTTTATTTTGTTGTTATTTTTGCTTTGTTGCTGCTGCTGAAGAAACTATTCATCATTACCAACAACAGGCTGTAGAATGCCAGTGCTCTCTTCATTTTAATAATTAATTAGAATTACTGACACTCATTAAAATAAAAACTATGGCTGATTCAATATAACAAGCATTTTCAAATGTAAAATAATATAAAATCGCAGCTTCACTCTTTTCAACACATTCTTCTCTCTTATGACAGATGAACACAATAAAACACTACAACGGTAAACAGGCTAATATACATTTGAATTTTCGTGGAATGTATTAAAATGATGTTAAGCTCACAATTGTTAGAGGAATATTTTTATTTCACCAAAATACATATTAATTAAAAGGATGAAAAATACTGGAGTGGGGAATTATTGCTCAACATGTTCCAGGCTCTTCCCGCAGTAAAAAAAAAGCCCAGCTCGGGATATAAACTTCCTCTGCATCACAGCCATGTTAATTCATGTCAACCAGAATCATAACGCTAAATATAAATTGCGCTATAACTCTTTAACCTTTCAGAAACAAGCAGCTCAATCAGACTGTTCAATAAATGTAACTAATCCTGAAAAATGTTACTGATCATCTAAATCAAGATTGTTGTATTAATGCAAGGCATCAAAAACACAACAAATAAGACAAATGTCGTTTATAAAAAAAAAGATATATTTTGTGTAACAAAAATCGTCTAAATTACTCCTTATCTCTAATTTTAATTTGTCTGATGTGTCTTGCGTGGAAGAAATTAGATCTGATGTGCTGCAGACGATTAAACTGTTTAAATAATATGGCAGATTTTAAATATATTAGCTGAAGACACATTCTTAAACAACTCTAAAGCCACCTACTGTTTCATATATAATTCAACATAGCGGACTAGAAAAAGCAGAAGGCAAAGTCCAAGACAAAGCAAATGTAACGCGGTGAAATGCAGACGTTTCCCCCCTTTCTCTCCAAATGCGTAGGTGTACTTCCGCTCCTCGATGTACTACTACAACCTGTACTTTTTACTTGTATATAACACCCGGGAATGAATTTGTTTTCGATAAACTGTGAAGCCGTGACGCATCGGACAGCGATTGGATATCTGGGGTTCAACTCCTCCCTTATAATAAAGAGAGTGTGTGTGTGTGTGTGTGTGTGTCCTTGTTGTAAAACATAGCAACACCGGGCGTCTGCGTCAGGAGTGCACATTCCACTCTGCGCAATTACGCGAACTCCTAACTGGCACAGTAATCAGAGAAAAACCAAAAGGCATTTTTCCATCTACTGAACCTCATACGGATGAAATGGACTTTTAATCGGGGGACCCTGATAATTTAGGACTTGCATCGAGCTCTTCAATGCAGTTTACGGTACGATAGCTGTAAATGCTACGATAGGATTATTACGCATGTGCACCGAGCACAGTTTTAAATAGTTGTATAAATATATTTTTCTTTTTAAATAGCTTTCTTTTTCCTCTAAAATTGGCTCCCGTACAAACAGCCGCGTTGGATCCCTCGGCTTACTGCGAGACTCCGGTGTATAACCCGGATCTCTGCCCTAATATGATAGCCGCCCAGGCAAAGTTGGTGTATCATCTCAACAAATACTACAACGAGAAATGTCAGTCTCGAAAAGCGGCGATCTCCAAGACCATCCGGGAGGTGTGCAAGGTGGTTTCGGATGTCCTGAAGGAGGTTGAGGTGCAGGAGCCCCGCTTCATCAGCTCTCTCAGCGAGATGGATAACCGGTTCGAGGGACTTGAGGTCATATCACCCACCGAGTTCGAGGTTGTACTCTATCTGAATCAGATGGGAGTATTCAACTTTGTTGACGACGGGTCTCTCCCCGGCTGCGCCGTGCTCAAGCTCAGCGACGGCCGTAAGAGAAGCATGTCTCTGTGGGTTGAATTCATCACAGCCTCTGGTTACCTCTCGGCGCGCAAGATCCGATCGAGATTTCAGACACTGGTGGCGCAAGCAGTGGATAAATGCAGCTACAGAGATGTTGTCAAAATGGTCGCTGACACAAGTGAGGTGAAGTTGCGCATTAGAGACAGATATGTGGTGCAAATCACGCCAGCGTTCAAGTGCACTGGGATCTGGCCACGAAGTGCTGCACATTGGCCTCTTCCTCACATCCCCTGGCCGGGACCTAACCGAGTGGCAGAAGTCAAAGCGGAAGGTTTCAATCTTTTATCCAAAGAGTGTTACTCCCTGAACGGCAAGCAAAGCTCAGCAGAGAGCGACGCCTGGGTCTTGCAGTTCGCAGAGGCCGAGAACCGGCTCCTCCTGGGTGGATGCAGGAAGAAATGCTTGTCAGTCCTCAAAGCGTTACGCGACCGTCACCTCGAACTGCCAGGACAACCCCTGAACAACTACCACATGAAAACGTTGGTTTCCTACGAGTGTGAGAAGCATCCCAGGGAGTCAGACTGGGATGAGAACTGTCTCGGCGACCGCCTCAACGGGATTCTATTGCAGCTTATTTCATGTTTGCAGTGCAGAAGATGCCCGCATTATTTCCTGCCCAATTTAGACCTGTTTCAAGGAAAACCTCACTCTGCTCTAGAGAATGCAGCTAAACAGACTTGGCGACTGGCAAGAGAAATACTGACCAACCCCAAAAGCTTGGAGAAACTTTGAGGTAAAAATGTTCACCTCCTCTTAAAAAGATTTGTGCTAAAAAGGCCTAACGAGCGGACAGAAATATTGCCAACCAATTTGCAAAGTCTTGAGAAATGTGACTGCCCTGTGTTGTTGAATATGTTCAGGCCTAGCCTGTTCCAAGTTGATTTTTTTGACAGTTAACTTTGCCATTATTTCCGTGCACCTTTTGGCGGTGTCAGTATTTAACAGCAAAGTTCAAATGATCGGCTACCAATGAGTCAGAAAGACACACAGTTGCCTAAATCCAACTTAAATGCTTTAAAATAAAGCCCCGTGACAAAGCTTTGGAAAACACACACATGTACATTTTATACTGTAAATACATTCATAGATTGTGATTCAAGTGGTCTGAAATTGTGAATGTTGTTCTGTGACACGTAAATAGGATCCACCTGTTTAAATCTACTTCTGAACTTTTTCTTTATCTCGTAGAAACGTTATTAATTTATACTTGCATCCGTGGTAGTCTGATTCATATGTTTCAATGGACAAGTTTACATTTTGATGGTAGGCGTTAAGACATTTCTTACAATGAAACATTCCATCAATTTACTTGAATTATTATTTAAAGGACTCAAACATTTTTTGGTTGTTGTTTTGCTTTACAATTGAAAACAATGCACTTGAAGTACACTGGATTATAACATCTGTGATCTTTTTATTTCTGTCTTTTATCTAATTTAAAGAGCGAATAAAACGAGCTGTTTTATATTTGTGTCCCATTATGGTTTTATTATGTGTGTTTTTCACAGTAGTGAAGTAGGCCTAATGCCATGCAATAAGAGGAAAGGGATTTGTTATTTCGGGGTTTCTAGTTGAGTGATACAACAGGGAAATTAAAAAAAAAAGAGTCATTTCCGTTCATAACAGTTTAAACATATCTACAGCACAGACCAGTTTGGATTTTTAAAGCCTCAACCCCCTGTGCACGAAATATAGGTTATGTATTTATTTATTTAAATATGATATGGACAGCCAGTTAAGTTGGCATGACTTAATAGTCTGTCAGCACCGACGTCTAGGCCCGAGTGGTCATCATTATAAAAAATATAGAATGCATAAAAATAATAGCAAATTCAAACGCACAAAATAAAAACCAATGGTGTTTTAGCCTAGAACAACATTATGGGCACAAAATATCATTAAATAATACAAGAAAAAAAGCAAGACAGAGCATGAGCAGAAGCGTGGCCACCTCTGAAAACTTCACAAATCCGCGTTTTCTCTTTAAGAACCGTGTATTGAAAATATAGTGAATGTTTAATACATGTCGATCAGTTACAATAAAAAATAAATCAACTGTGAAACACGTCGGAAACCAAACCAGCCGCTTTTCTGCACACTTGTTTACAGGTTACTTACCTTTGATTCGACCCTTTTGAAGGCAGGGTCATCTTCGTCCACCTCAAAGTAGATTTCCGTGGTGGTGATGGACAGAGTCCCCCGGGCCACCAGGGCAGGAGCAACAAGCTGAGCCGGGCTGCACAGGACCACTGGGCCTGCACAGTGCAAGGGGGAGTCAGTAACATGCACATCAAGATTTTGTTTTACTGTACGTCAATAAAGCAAGGACGTGGTTCATTCTGTCAAATTCTCTAAAACTCAATGCGATTAGTGGAGGTGCAACCGGTCAGCGGCCTCTGTCAAACCGCGACGTGCGTAAAACTCACGCACTTAGAAACATGACGGAAATCTTACATTTAATTCACTTTAAAATATCAGACATTATAGCTTTTAGATTTAGTGTTACTTATTTATCTGCTTTATATTCCATTTGTATTTTGTGCATAACGTTTCCTAACTGTGCATATGGCAAATAAACACATTGACTCTTGACTCTAGCTGGTCAGTGCAAGTCTTTATTTGTTAGCATCCTTATCATTATACATAGGCGTTTGCGCGCATAATACAAAGGATGTATCAGGGCTAAAGAGGTGTCATCAGAACATTATCTGTTTGTACCCGTTTGCAAACCAGTGATGCAGCTACAACAAACAGGTAGGATCTGATCGGACCATAACGCAAACCACCACCACCACTGTTAAAGACAAGGTTTCCATCAAGTTAAACAAAATAGCCTACAATTCTTCCCTCATTTCCCCCAATACTGTCACAACGCATCTGCAAAACATATCTAAAATAGACATCTACACTCATTCATATTTGTGATGACTGCTTTAAAGGGGGAAGTCTATATGTGGATTTTATTCTCCAATACATATTCGTTTACAATGAGGCATTAATGAAAATAGTATTTTAGTTTGATTGTCTTCAAGTCCAAGTGATTGTCCAGACCTTTTGGGAGCCAGCTCAGCTGATAGTGATTATATCTTTATTTGAGTCTCCTCCCTCCCGCTCCTCTCCTCTCCTCCATGTTCCCAGATCAGTGTGGCTGTGGAGCACGGTACAGTGATTTGTCTTCTCTCAAACGACAGCTCTCGAAATCAGGATATTTATCGATCCCTTAAACTCCAAAGAGCCACTTTAATGTCTCATCAATCTTAATCTGCGTTCTTCAGCCAATTATGGCCGATAGTGTTACAGGAATACAAGTGGATTTCGGTCTTAACTCCCAGAGCGCCCCTTCATCGCTCTCACAGGCTGCACAGCCAAACCGACCTCCCACCACCCCTCCACCCTCCACCCTCCACCAGCTTTGCTCGGGTCCATTAACAGTGATCCTATCTGCCGATGCCATCAGCCCCGGCGCTACACGGTGCTTACAAGCTTCATGTGAAGAGAACATGCAGTACCTCAGCCTGTTTCGCTGCATTTCAGGAGCCGTTTCGTGTTTATAAAAGATGTAAAAAAAAATAAAGCACAACAGACGAAGCAAAATGACTTACACAAACTATTCTTCTTCTGATTGGTTCTACCAGCACGTTGTGGTGCGACTTGTTTCAGAGACTGTCTTTGTGTTCACTCCAGCACCTGAATAACAAGCCAGTCCACCTCTTGCTTAACATCACACTTTAAGGGCTGACTGTAGTCTAACCCTACACAGAGAGAAACACACCAGCCTGGAGCATTAAGCCACGGCATCCATTGCTCATGGGGAGGAAGAGGATTAGGCAGTAATCCCCCCAGGGATCCTTCCATAATTAGGCTACAGTATATGGCATTAATATGTTTACGTGAGAATAATGAAATTAAGGGCAAGTAACGCAGGTGAGTAGTGCATATGGACTAAAAGCTTGAAATACCCCGCTGCTGGGTATTTTAATGAAAACGCAAATATTTGTCAAATGACAGGCCAATTTAATGAAGTGATGAAAAGTCTCATTTTGGTGTGGTGGGAGTTTGGGAGAACTGCTGAGAAGATGGGTATATTACTACTCACAATCCAGTGTGGACTAGCAATTGATTAGGCCAGGTGCTTTTATATTCACCATTATGAGAGAAAGGGAGGTGGAAGTTACACCTGAGCACCATAACTCAGCTGCAAACATGGCCATGTTGACTTGTAGTAGATACATATACACACGCACAGCTGCAGCCATTATAATCCACTGTATGTTTAGTGTCTGAGGCACAGTGCCTTATTGTTCATTTGAGTCACTGAAGCAATGCTCAGCATGCATTTATCTTTCATCCTATAATGGCCACATGTAAAATCCTAGACAAATATATATTACACTCTTTAATAAGGCTGCTGTATGCAAACATTAAAATAGAAAACTATTAAATATTTAATCTAAATAGCATTTTCCTGTGTTGTCTGTAGCCGATATTTTCTTGATGTGACCCATATTCTGCTTAAATTAAGGACATATAGAAATTTGAATAACAAAAACCCATAAAAGAAGAAACATGGAGAACCTGAATATGCAAAAAGAAATGTGTTGGTTTTTCTCTTTTATAAATATGTCACAACTCATGGGCTCAGTATTGAGCAGGGACTAAAATGAATACAGAAAGGCTAAATTAAGGCAGAACAAAATGGTTGTGACTGCTAAACAGCACTTCGGGGTGTACTAACACGGCTGCACTATGCCAGCAGAACAGTCGATTTTACAGACTCTCCTCTTTTTTCTTCTCATGTGCTCATCTTACCTTTATATATCATCTGATTTTAATATAATATGTAAATACAAAAAGGGCTAATTTACTGTCACCCACAGCATTTCCAGTTTTTATGGGGGAGCAAAACCAATCACAGGTTCAGTAACCACAACTGCCTAGGCCCTGGAGTGCAGGCGCTGCCCCTTTGGCAGCAGCAGCAGGCGGTGACCCAACGGCTGGCAGGAGGAGCACTGCTGTTGACAAGACTCTAGTCCCAGATCTCTCATTAAGGCTGTTCATCCCTGAGATTAGATACTGGCCAAGGACAGGCAGTGCAACCTGGCATAAAAATGTTATAGTGAGGGAGCTCCCATTGGTAAAAACAAGTTTGATTCAACCTAAAAAAAAATTCACACAAGCTGACACATCATTGAGGTATCATATCTTACAGCTCAGTATTTCTGTTTTGTACAAGTTCATTATTAGTTCTTTTAGTTCTGCTTGTGATTCAGCCCTTGCTCTGCTCTGCTCTTTGGACAACACAGGGTTCATCTGACAGGCATGGCGTGTTCAGCTGCCTGCTGGCCCTGGGACTAAGCGGAGGGGGGTTAGTCTCCATCTCTGAGATTCATCTGTGGGGTCTTAGAGGGGATTTCACTGCTCAGCATGAGCTGTATATACACATATGGGCCATTGTAACTGGTTATAGATAAAAGACTACAGCATGAAACAGTATGAAATAAATAATATTAAATTACTTTTGCAATTCCATGCTGCAACACCTTCCAACTTACTGTTCAGTTTTGGACAATCCAGTTAGTATTAATGAATTCTCTGAAAATAAGAGAATCATTCACTCATACTATGTAAACAAACATATTTAGGTATCGAACCACTAACAAATCCAGTTTATATAAACCAACAATTGCTTGCATGAGATGCGGCATTGGCTTTATTGACAAGTGCATCGTCCGCATCTCCACTTAAAACTCCACGGAACTCTGGATAACTTTTTATAAAAGCAGTTCATGGTTGGCTTGATAGTTTGGCTCACACACAGGGAGTGTGATGTCCATTAAATAACAGGATGTTTGGCCAACAATCTGAATTGTGTCTGACTGAGCTGAAGTATTAAAGTTGGGTTAGGATGCTGGATACTGTATATACGGTATATTTAAAAAAAATCAACAACAATAAAAATAATACTAATACATTAAAAAATGAATAAAGATGTAAGCTTGTGTTTGTCATTCATCAGCTGCTAAAGGTCAACTAATACTACTTAATGATAACCCACTGTAGAGAGAATGAGGGTCAACTTAGCTGCAGGATAATTAAGCTGTTGTGCTCTCCGTTAACATCCAAGTTTTCACTTCCATGCTGAAAATACACATTTTATATACTTTTCTTGACAAGGTCATTCAAAGTTCAGTTAAACTATAACATTTTATTCATATGGAATAAATGCTGTCATTTAAGAATTCCCAGTGGACTGTACAGCACTATATTGTATTGTATACTAGAAAACAACTGCAAACAGAATTTGATTAAACAATGTGTTGATTGATTGTAAAATTATACAGGGTTTTGATTCAGACTAATGAAATGTTGCATCTGCTCGATGTCTACTTACGATTTTCACTCAGTAAGTTATAATAATGTTCAATCAGTATCATCTAGAGATTTGTTAGATTTATCAGTTATCATTGCTCAGCCAGGTTAAATAAAGTATTAGCAAGCAGTGGTTCATATAACTTCAATCACCGACCATCTGAAAAATCCTAAAATATGAATCATGACACATCTGGATTGATCATCTTTCCGGAATTAGTTTAACTTTAGAAGACTTGCCTCTAGAGATAAACACCCGAGGAAGGAACTGTGCTGAAGAGTTCCAAAACAAAACAGAGGACACTTATCAGACACAAAAATGTAACTGTCAAACTTAAGCAAAGCAGATCAGAACACTTAGAAAAAGGCTTTAACACCAGAGTTACATGAGGCTGAACTGCAGAAACAGACCAGAAAAGTCAAACCTCAAATAAAACGGAATAAATAAATGCTAAATAATAATTAAGCCAATTAACGCAAAGTTTTCCCACAGAAACATAATGATCTGATGCACTGATGTTAATCAGGTACAGGTAACTATGCAGGCTATTAGGAAGAAGAAAAATAAAAGACCACTGGTGATGCTGATGTTGGCCTGGGATTAATGGATTTGCTGACTTACCACCCAGGTTGTCCATCTCCTTCTCCTGCAGTAGACTGGCAGCATCATCCTCTCCCTCAAGCATCAGCTCTGTCTCTGGGTTCTGGCTGGATGTAGTCTGGCTGCGAAAGGCCTTCATAGACTTGACCACCTCATCTTCATCTGAACCTGTTAAAAGAAATATGAGAGAGATCACTAAATAATGAACTTTGTGCCCTCTAAAGCTCAGACTGGTAATAGTCACTTTAATTAAATGAGTAGAAATATCTGGTTATAGCATATTCCTTGGCAAAATCCCATAACCTTTCCTATTGTAGCATTAACTACTGCAGTTTCCAGTGTTAAATTTCTGCTCAGTCAAATTACACCATCTGTCTGAAAAGACACTGACTGAGCTTACTTTGAAAGTACAGTATAGCACATAATGCATATAACCAAAATATATAAACAATATATTAATGTCGAACAGCGTCATCAAAAAAAAAAAACCCCAAACCACCCACACACCCACATCATTGACTCCTGCATCCATCCTGAGCCTGATAAGATGAACACTAATGTCCTTGCCATAGCATATGAAAGAATGCCACATATTCATTCACTGAAAACACTTCACATGGTTGAACATAAGAGGTTTTTTTGTTTATTTTTAGACAAGGTCAACAATGAAACACTAATCTGTGTCTTGACAGACCAACAACTGTGTTGGGGGATACATTTTGAGCTCGTACTCGATTAGAGATATCATTTGCTGCTTTTGGAGATTTGACAAGAGTTGGACTGAACAGACAGCATAATTAGGGAGCTGCTTACAGCAGAACTTTATCATATGTCTACAGAGGAGCATGCTTATTGATAAAGATGTGTTCATACATCCTGAAAAATAAGGAAGTCTCACAAAACATTTATCAGCTTATATCAGCTCATCTCCGACATGTGCCTGCCACACAGCCGCTCAAACCGTTTAGGCGAATTTGTCTTTCTGAAGTCCAAAGTAGGAAATAACCAGAGGAGAAACTTGCATGTACAAAAGGAAGAACACATATCAAGAAATGGGAGGTCGCCGACACCTGTCTGACATGTTTCCTTTCAGCACAGTTCTTAATTTGCTTCTCCCTCCCCTGTGGAACGTGTACCTTGTCTTGAAGAGGTCACATTTGACTGTTGTCAACATTGCTACTGAGAAAAAAGTCTGCTTCCTGCTCTGCCTCATATCTGGAGCGCTTTCATCAGACGAAGGGAAGAAGTGTGTGTTTTGGAAATAAATTCTGTGTAATGTTAAAGTGAGAAGCCAGCCAGCGGTCAAAGATCAAAGCAGAATAAGTGAAACTTAAAACTGCAATTCTGTAAACCATCATTATGTGGCAAGCAAATGAGGGAAAGCTCAGCGGACAGGCTGATGTTCAGATTGGCATGTCTGTACAGGGCTGAGTAGACCAAATAAACCATGCTGATTTCTGTATGCAAATGGCCAACATCAACTGTTGTAGGGGGGCAGCGGTGTAGGGTGGATGATCAACTTTAATGCAGCTTAGTTCTCACAGAAAAGGGGATATAGTTATAAATAGAGATGAAGAGGTTTGACTTGAAGAGAAAATGTGCTGACATGAAAAGTGATCTTCTCATGAGTGATAGCCTGTTGTCTCAGACATTCTTGTACTAAAAATGCTGCTGTGAAAAGGGTCTCAATTTGTCACTATTAAAGGACTGGCTGTGGAGTGGTGTTGAGGCAGACTCATTAGAAAGCTTTTCATGTGTTCACCCTTGACCAGTGTTTGGCAAAACAAAGAGAATGAGCCTTTGAATGTATGATGTAACTCATACGAATGACCTCAAATTAAAATGAACAAGTGCCAGCTGGGACAGTGTGTGCACATCCAGTCATCACCTGCTGAAGAATTTAAACATTCTTTGTTCAGCTGATTTTATGGTGTGAAAGGATTATTTTACATATATATATACTATATAAAATCATCCTTAACTTAAATTCAGTTGTGGTTATCTTCAGCAAATTCCACAATCCATAGGACACTGCACTGATCTTGAGAATACTGCTATATTTGTATAGTGTTATCACACAAAATTACCAAAAGAGAAAAAAGAAAAATCCACCAAATAATAAAACTGCAAAAAGCTGAATAAAATCTTTCCATCAAATCCTATGGAATTCCAATCTTCAACAAATATTCACTTACTAAAATTTATATTAAAAATGGGGAAAATAGTGCCTATGCCATGTCACTGCAAAATGATGGTATGCCAGCTAGCTTTTATCTAATTAACCTTACAAAGCGAGAAGTCCGTCAGAAGTCGCTGCCATTGACTTTTGAATGTCTCTGAAAGATTCACAGCAGTTTTAAGTTCATATTTGTTCTCAAGTGCTTCAGGAACAGTGCCAGGAGAAGCCACTGATCACCAGTCTCACAGGTCCTCTGGTTCAATCACTACGTTGAAACTGCTGTGGAGTACACTAATTACACCCAGTAAAGTGCATTGCACAGTTTCGTGACCCCATCAGAGGCTGATAAAGACATGCCAGCTGTGACCAACGAAAGCTGCCCCTGAGCACTCATCACAAGGGTTCAACACATGGTCCTGGGGTCCTTCTAATGTACAGTATCTACCAACTGCCCACACTGAAAACACTGAAACATGCTGTTGGTGACATTTTGGTTTGTTTTTTTATAATGTAATCGTCATGACAAATCACAGAGATGACCTAATGGGTTGTGACACAAGGACAAAATAAATTCAATAGGTTCTGGGTTTCATTCTGGAGTCCCTGAGGCCTTATTATGGAGTGTTTCCATTAAGTTAGTGGTGTGAGTATGTTTATGTTGGTGAAGTGGGGAAAATAGTGCCTGATATATTTTAATATGAATAATTTTTGTTTTGAAAATATATTGATGTCAGAATTTTGAGAATCATTTAAAAAGATGCATTGCCGCTTCACTTATTTAACATTTTGTAAGTCCCGTTCAAACAGTGAGGGATCATTCTAAAGTGTAAACCAACGGGGCAGGAGAAAAAGAAGAAGCAGAGAGGAGAAAATGGTAATGGTGACAGTTTTATAAAAAAAATTAAAAAAAAACTGAAAAGAAAATTCCTATGTTTGTTTACCACTATAAATGAAAAACTGAGTTGCATTAAAAAAAGAACACACATGTGCACCAATACTTTGATATTTTCCTTAGAGGCAGAGATTGGTGACATCAATTAAACATATTCTTTTGTGAACAGCTAAAACCCAATTCAAACAAATCCACAAATGGCAATATAGCTACAGTATGCTTATGGAGCTCAGGGAGCAACAATGCAAAACATGTTGCTTGCAGATTTGTAATCATGTACAACTATTAATAAATGAAGATGATATAGAAACTCCTTGCATGCACTAGAAATCCTACTTTCCCCCCCAATTCAAATAAACTTTATAATCTTACATAAAGGCTCTGACACTGGTAATATTTTAGTGTTCTGTAGTTTTACAATTTAGCATGGAATAGATAAGAGTTGAAAGGCCTTTAAAAGACTGTTGAATCTACTCTAATACTGCTGCCAAGGGTCATGTTTCATATATTGCAGTGCTAGAGAGTTTTGTGGCACTGGCCTTTCATTTTTATAGCCTCAACAGAGCTGGTGAGCATATGTTTTCCTAAGTCTCCTATGTATTATACACCCTGCCTCAACAATGTCACTGCCACTCCTCAAAATCAAAATCCACAACATCATGTTTTACTTAAGGTTCAGCTAACTCGTATGGGTATTTCTGCTCAGGAGTGGGAAAAAAAGCAGATTTCACAAATATTTTGGATAATTCAGCATACAGGCCTTTAAATAAAACACAAAGCAACTCAGGTTTCTCATTCTGAGAAGCGTACATATAGGGGTTTCATCAGCAAAGCAAGATCTGCATAATATGCTGGAAAAGGGAAGTCAGGGTGTCAACTTTTATGACAGGCAACATTTTGGGCACAGCTAAAAACACACAGCTATCTTTGACCTCTTTCCAGATAAAACCTTTGCAGGTGTGGCAAGAATTATTCCGTTTCATTTCTCATTCTGCCAGATCTCTGTAGATAATGCACATTAGTAGAAGCCCTCTAACTTCACTCTAATTTAATCTACATTAGTGTTTTGTGCAGTCATTCCAACATCTACATAACATGACCTCTATAAAATGATTTAAATATATCTCTTCCTTTTCCCAGACTCTATCTGTTTCAGGTTGTGCCCTTCTATGATCTGTCTCCATGGGCTCCACATTCCACATGAAGAAAAAGGTCCAGTTCATGGGATTGCATTACTGCTAGGGTAATGCAATTCTGCCCTCTGTCTCTTGGCTTTTATTTACTCTGCACTGAAAGATAAAATGAGGGGAAAATGACAGCTTCATACTTCCTGTGATGTGAGCCATCTGTTTTGCAGAGTATGTGTTTTGAGGGTATAAAAGTAAACAGTAGAACTTTGATGTAGGGGAGTTTATACAGTGCAGACACTTCCTCTTGGGGTTATCTTTATTAAATATCCTGGGATGTGCAGTGTGTGTCTACTGTGCTGCCAGCGGTTACAAACAGCCTCATTTCCTCTCCATCAAAACATTAACGGCAGTGTCTAATAATCCCCATCTGGACCCGAACGCTCTCGTATGCCACATAACTGCTTCTGTGCATATCATGCATTTAGTGAATGGAGCGTTCAAATGTGTAGGTCTGCATGTTGGTAAACAGCCTCATTTGTCACGGTTTAATATCTTTGATTATAAAGCTGGAGAAGGTTAATATCACATCACAAGGCCGGGGCCTCTGCTGCAGTAAAGAGCTATAAAAATCTGTGCTCGAGGCAATCGGCTCTCAGTGAAGCTGCTCACCTGAAATGAGACAGCAAGGACAGCCGGAGGTAAAACACCCCGTTAAACACTTGGATCAATATTAACGTGACTTCCATTTCATGCTTGCCCAATTCCAATCACCTAACAATATACACTGATACTGAGCTGTGGCTGGCTGTAACAGGGCAGGTTATTACAGGCACAGGGCAGAGACAGAATGTGCTGGCTAAGCTGTCAGTGCTGCTAATAGACAATGAGGCAGAGTTTAAGGCTGAGTTTAACCCCCCATCACACAACTCCATGAATGTACAGTACACACTGTCACACACAGACACACACTAGTGACAGTAATGATTACAAAGGTTACACTGATGCACTGCCAAAATACCAACTTCAGAAAACAAATACAATTTTAAGATGTTTTCTTGTATGGCCACTGAAATGTAGGCACAGAGGTGGTCATATTTAAGTGTTTAAAACAATTCATCAAATATCTCTTGAAAACCCACACAACTAATACATTAATCCAACATTTACATCAGCAAAACAAAAAGTCTTTATTAAAAGCAAGGAGAAAACACTGAAGACAGAGACTCTTAGATGCTGTCAAAAATACCTCACACTCCTCACTTTCTGAAAGTTTCTTTGGGGAAAAAAAAAAATCCTACTTACTTTCATGTTCCCCACATGAGCTTGAAAAACGGACATTTGCTGTGAACACAATAGTGTAAGTCTTCCCTCTTCAAGATGTTGGCTGAGCATATATCATCATATCCTGCTGTCAAACCAGAAACTGTGTATTCAATTTGGACAGCCTACTGGTTCCTCCAATAGTCCCAGATTTTACAGCTCTAATAATGACTCTCAAGGGCCAAATCAAACAAGTCGCCGGTGCCTGTGCAGACAGGAAGCAACTAAAAAAAGTTCCGTAGAGTCTCTGTCAAATCCAGAAATAAAGCCTTGATGTTGTGACTAATGTATACCCAACCTCTGCACCAAGGTTATCTGCTAAAGACAGGCCCCATCTTTAATACCATGCTAATTAAAAGTGAATATTCATAAAACTGTCAGAGTACATTTAAAACAGAAACTGCCAACTGTCGCTGTCAACAAAATATACCAAAGCTCTAAAAACAGAACAAAAGAACCTTATTAGTGTAACTCGTAACAAAACCTGGGCTCCACTGTGCAACCACATCAAAGCCTGCTGGAAAGAGCCTGAAAGTGCAGCTCACCTCTCAAGGAGAGCAAGAGGGTTGTCCGGCCAAAGTCGAAAACTTTCACTTGACAAGTTTATACATTTTTCTTCTCATTAAAACCGCTGCATGCCAGCATGACTTCAACAAGTCTTCAGTCAACGACACAGAGGCTCAAAACACAAAGTTCAAAAATATTCAGGTGAATTGATGGACTAAATAACATGATATGTATTTGTAGCATTTGTCTTCAAGACATCGGTCACTAAAACAAGATACATGCCTATAGCAATATGAGCAACTGAAGAATGGGTAAAGCTAACTGCCAATGACAGATCAACTCAAAGAACCTCCACTTTACTGACGTTGAAGTACTTTAATCAAAATGTTTTCTGAATGATTTAGGCTCATGTACAATGTCCAATGGCATTTCCAGAGGCTGCAAAAAGTAGTTTCAATAAAAACCTTTTTATTGGGCTGAACTGAATGGAACTGATCTTTATCCCAATCTGTAACTTACTAATTAGTAATAACATTACTTCAAACTTAAAACATAAAAGCTTAAACAAATACAAAATAAGTAAATGTCAAAAGACCATAAAAATGAAAATATCAAAGATGAAGAGATCATTTCTTAAGCACAGTAATAATTAGTACAAATTATTAGTGTAGTGCAATATGGATCAACAGTATAGTTATGTTATTCTGCAGGAATGGTCGGAGAGTTTTCTAATGATGTTTTGATTGGCGCCGCAGATGGCTTCCTCGGTTCTGTACCAAAGACAAATTCCTTGTGTGTGTAACATACTTGGCCAAATAAAGTGATTATTATTATTTTTTATATTATCACGTGCTTTACAAGTTTCCTGGTCAAGTATTTACAGGTTGATGCAAAGCAGTGTAACTTCTTTGCCGTGGACACTGAGGTCCTTAAAATTCGTTAATGTTTGTTTACTTCAGTCCTTCCCACAATGGAAACAACTAATCAGAAAAGTCCACAAAACTAGCTTATTATAGAAATAATGGAACAACCACAAAATCTAAAGCAGGAGGTGCAATTATTGCATGTGTGTTGGACATATGGACCACCTGAAGCCGTGACAGCAGCGGGCATGTGTTCATCTGCAGAGTATGATCTTCATACAGCGGTCATGGCAGAGCTGAAAGCAGCCAACAATCAGCTTCAGTAGCTCAACGCTGAAACACCCATGAGGTCGGTGGACAATGTGATAGCTGTGCATTGCTCTAGGTCTGCGGTTATTTATAAA